GCCGGTATTCCAGAGGTCCGTGGTTCGATTCCCGGCGAAGGCGGTTGCTAATTTTTCATCTTCCCTGCTCCAAAAATAATCCTAATGACTCTACAGTGGCGCCCGAACTAAAAGGGTGTTGGATGAGGATTGACCACACCCAAGATTTGACGATTGGGTCCGGAAACATCCCAGTTGCCCTTTAAAATGGGGAGTATATAAGGTATTTCTCCCGCTTTCCTAGAGTGCCTTCGTGATTTAGTGGTTCAGCACACTGGGCCTATATTCCAGAGGTCCGTGGTTCGATTCCCGGCAAAGGCGGTTGCTAATTTTTCATCTCTCCGGCTTTCAAAACAATCCTAATGTCTCTACAAATATACTTAAGGTTAATAAAAATTCCATTCATTATACAATTCTATCTAAACAATTGGTTCTTTTTTGGAAGTGTTTCGCTTATGCTGCCAACGAAATCATACTCCTAATTTATTACTTGGAAAAATTCTTTATCTATATTATTTAAGAGTAAAGTGAATAAAAAGTGTAAGAAATTGTTCTTTAGTTTTTGCTTCACTGTTCATGTAACATTTACACATAAGGTTTAACTGAAATATCCAAAACAAAAGTTCGGTTATCAGATCGATAACACTCAAAAATTTTTATTTGTAAATTTGAAAATCAGATTCTCATTCGCAAATTCATGTTGTAGACAATTAAGGTGTTATCATTTAGGGAGCTAGGTTCCAAGCAAATGAGACCAGAATATTACTTCCTATAACAAATGATGTCTCTAAAGCTTTGTATGAAAAGCATTCTTCCCGCAAATATGAACAGAATATAAAGAATATTCTGAATTTTTGTATTACATAAGAAGATAACAAACAAATAAAAAATAAAATAAAACATAAATATCTACGGCTAAATAAAATATGAATTGAAAGGCATGAGCTCCTTTAGCCTTGGGAATAAAATTCTAATGAACGTTTATTATTTGCATAATTTACAGGACAGAGAGAAGTTATCTCGCATAGCAGAGAAGAAAGTAATATATGCTAAATGCAGGTTATGTCTCTGTTCCAAGACATAATTTTAAATTTCTGATAACAGTTGCATCTACTTCAATCATCAGCTTTCCTATCATGTTACTCTCATTTGGTCTTGAAAAGCGGGTTTTCTAAATTCATAGAGCTTTGGAGGTTGGTAACAAAATTCCTGTTCTGCCTCTAGTTCCCTCAAATTTTTATCGCTCTTAAGAACTTAGTGAAGCGAATTTTAAAATAAGATTAGGAGGCATCAAATTTCATCTATAAGGCCAGCTGCTCTGAAACATGATACGATATTGGTACGGAACACTGGTTGCAATCACACCATGTAGAAAATCATCGAAGATAATTACTTTCATTAAAAGCAGCAGTATAAAATAACTCCATATAGAGTGCTTAAAAATAAGTGATTACGAAATACTTACTTGATTTTTTAAATGTTAAATTTCTTAAAAATTATCTCGGTTTGAGATTTTTAACCTGTGTAAGTTGTGTGAGTTTGATTTTGCGTAGTCCTAAAATAATGCCTAAAAGTTGTCTAGTGCTTAAAAACATTATAAAGCACTAACGAAGTGCAGATGAAAGATGGTTTACGTACATAAATGTATAGCTGGAAATATGTTGCAAATAATTTTTTTGAATTACTTACTTTTGGCAAAAGTGATGAAATCAGTTTGAAAATGCAGTCTGATAAAAGAAAAAAAGAAAAAGAAAAAAAAAAGAGAAGGGGGGGAATTCTAAATTTCGATACAGAAATGAAGAATTTAGGATACATTCACACACAATGCTAGGATATTTTGTTTTATTACGGACTTTTTTGTCTAAAACTAAGTCATACAGTGATACATGTTTATACCTACTTGCATTTTTTTAAGTCTTAAAGTGTCCTAATCATGACTTCGTAAATATGTAGTATTGTGATATTTTTCAAAAAGACGCTTAGATTAAACAGGATAAAAAAAAAAGTCCTTCATATAATAATACAGTTTTCTTCCTTAGAAGCACTTTGTTTCTAAAATACGCTATTAAGAGCTTCCCGGCAAAAGGTGTTCATTGAAATTGCCGTGTTTCCCACAAGGAAAAAATAGTGCAGAAATAAAAGTAAGACAACTTGATTTCTAATTTCCGGCTTGATTACTGTTTGTTGATTTTCACGGTGCAAAAGGCGTAAAGCCCACTTGTCTTGAGAAAAAAAAAGTCATGGAGGATGGACTGGACAGGATGTGGGAAAGGTTAGCTCTGCCGAGCGGAAATCAGATTCACTTTCCATGAAAACTATTTGTAACTAGTTAATTTATTGCAAATATATAAAATTGCATTTTATCAGTTTGAAATACTTTCTGAATGTACTTTGTAATATATCTAGAAATTATGAGCCGTTAAATGTTAAATAAAGAGACAAAGGAAGTTTAATGAAAATGGTTAAAATTTTATAAATGTAGAGAATGATTAAGAAATTTCTTTCATTTCTCCTTAAAGTAAGAATGTCTTTAATTGCAGATATTACTTAATTTTGTACGCCCGTATTTAGTTATCTATATCCATTTGATTCAAACAGTCGTAAAATTAACTAAATTTTTCATTATTCGGTTTATACTTAAGATTTCTTTACTTCTAATTCAGTTGTTCGGATATTTTTTGAATGATTAAGTAAGTTACTGAAAAGAACTAAAGAGAAAAGTTTATTCAACAACAACTTTTATACTGAGGCCTAAATTATTATCAGCTATGTTCAGAATTTTGTTAGCTCAAAATAGCTCATGGAAATAAACCTCATAGAAGGCAACATTTTTACATTTTTCGAAGAAACATATTGCCATGTGTAACGACATAGCAACATATTTTGTTTTTGCCATACGTAATAACATAACAACACATTTTGGTTTTTCAATTAAAAAAGATAAGCAGTCTTGGAATCGAAATATCTAAGGATACAGCAAGCATATGATTCATAGCAAAGGGAAAAACTGTTAATCATTGCTTTCTACAGGAAAAAGAATGATACATTTTTCAAAATCAAAAGATGATTTCAAAAGAAGACTCATATATTCAAAGGATAGCATCATTAGCGTTTGAAATGTCTGTTTGTACTGTGAATAAAGTAATAAAAGAAAATTTTAATTGTAAAAAAATGCGGGTCTGCTTATGGTCGAAGGTTTATAGCCGGTGAGTACTAGGAGTTCGATCCCAGGGGAACAGTCTGTCTGCATGGTAATTTCTCGCGACATTTTCCATGTGTAGCGTGAATGCGAGCCAGTTTACTTTAGTCCTTTGAGATCGTATTCTTACTCTTATGATATAATCTTCCCATGCTTGACCATATTTCAACAACCTAACTTAATTTAAAAACGGCAAAAAATTGCTATTCTATTCGTCATTATTTTCCCGAGACTTGCCCTCTTGGGGGTGAGGAAATCGATTTCTTTTGGAATACTATACGTTGATTTTGGATTTATATTTGCTATCTATCAGTAAGGCCGTTTGGTTAAATCTGATCTGTTTCTTTTTATTTGTTAAATGCAAATTCTTAAATAAAATTAGGAACTTACGAATTTCGCCAGCATTAAAGAGATCTGAGATTTTCGTAATGGTTTAATGCTTGCAAAATGCCCTATGCCGCTACTTTTAAGGCAATGTCTCTACAGTTAAGAAGTTATATTAGATTCTCTAGGTTTCTGAGAGGTTGAGTAAAGGTATTATTGTTAAGTGCTGTTATTTGTTTTGGTAAAGAAGGAATGTTATTTGCTTTGAATTATTTAGCTATCTTTTTATTGAGATAGTTACGTTTTTCCCCTTTCTTTGATTTATAGAACTGTCGTGACTGGTTCTTAATGAATTACTTTTCATTATTCTTACAAACTAAAAATTACACTGACCCAAGGAGCATGAAGTAGTAGATCATAGATTGTAATATCCGTCGTAAAACATCAGTTAACTTGAAGCAGCAGAATTGACGTTATATAACCGAATATACGTTTGTTGGAAAGTTTTTGCCAGCTATTTAAACCCTATGACATAATATACGAGGGTTGATAAAAAAAAAGGTTACAAGGTTAATAATAAATTATTTATTAACGATAGACAAAGTACAAGAGGGAATTAAGAGGCCTACTTTTCTATCTATGTGGAAAACATAATCACAGATCTATGTAAGCATTTATCTGAACTTTATCTGACAACTTTTTTAATCCTGCTTGGTAGGAATCACGTCCTTACTTAATGAGTCAGTTCTCGGCAGCTGTTTCCACATCACTGTCTGAAGAGAACCTCATTCCTGATAAATATTCCTCCAGTTTCGGGAAAAGGAAATAGTCACTGGGCGCTAAATCTGGGCTATATGGGGATGACCCCACACTTCCCAATTTTGCAGCAGTTTTGTGAGGATGGCGAGCAGTATGGGGCCGGGCATTGTCATGCAGGAGGATGACACCATCAGTCATGATGCCAGGGCGCTTGCGTCGGATGGCTTCATGTAACCTTGTCAAAGTGGAATAACGATTGGCAGTAATGGTATGGCCAAGTTGGAGGTACTCGATCAGAATAACGAATCATAGCTCGCACCTCCAAGCGAGTCCACTTTTCTAAACGTCTTGCCATTTCATTCGCTCTCACGCATTTGCAAACATATTCTACCTACCTGCACAACCGATGCCAGACAACTAATGGCATCTGTCTACAAACACTCCGACCACAATAATTGCTTTTCAAATGCTGATGTTTGTAACCTTTTTTTTATCCACCTACGTACATTAACTGTTTTACTTAGTAAAGGAATTAAAAGTTAAACGCATAACTTAAATATTAAGATAATTAAGAAGAAACTCGAATTAACAACTTAATCAATTATAAGTGATTTTTTATGCAATGTCGTTTTGCTTTTATCAAGAAGATTAGAGTCGAAGATGTAGGAGAAATTCCTGTTCATGTATTCAATTAAATTTCCAAAAATATAATTTCTGATTAGTTAAATTTTTATTTCAGTTCCCCGTCCAGCTCACTTGTGCTCCACGTTGTCCGTTCTCGGGGGCCCAATCCAGTCCACGGAAGGTGGCATCACGACGGAACTAACCGACCGCCATTCCAACACCACCAATAATACTATGGGCATATCAGACAAGATCGAACGCCAGGAGTGCATTAGCGAGGCTGCCCGTACCCTCAACCTCATGGATGCCCATCAGAAGGATCAGCAGCAACAACACCTTAATCCTCTCCATCATCATCACAAATTGTCTGTTATGCGACTTGTGGGAGACAAATCGCCGCGGCCTGCCTCAAGCCCTGAGCAAGTAAAAGCTCGCCAGCAAGAGGCAGTTGCTGAAGATTTGTCCGTAACAGCGGCAGTAGATGAAGTGGACAGTGGGGATGAAAATATCAGTGTTGCTGATGAGGATGTTGACAACAACAAATGTTCTGCTTCTGCTGAGTCCATGATGGAGGGAGATGATTTTCCGAAGAGAAAACAAAGACGTTACAGGACGACATTTACTAGCTATCAACTCGAAGAGCTGGAAAAAGCTTTCGCAAGAACGCATTACCCAGATGTGTTTACTAGGTATTTTATCTTTATATATTTGTTGAAAAATTTCATTTTTTAAATGGAACTAAATAAAAATCATCCTGTTGAACATTGCATTAAAGCAACATGTTTAGTAATATCGTGCAAAATATGAAATAAATGTTGTTTTGTTGCACTCTTTCTATTTGAATGAATATGCTCTGCTTGAATGTAAAGTGATTTTAATTTCTAGGTAATTATTTAAGTAATATCTGAATGATGGTAATACTTGAAATGCAAGCTCTTGCGAAAGGGAATAATTCCAAACTAAAGTGTATTAAAATAAAGAAAAACAAAAAGCTGCGTTAAGGTGCAGTGCTATGTTGGTGAATTAAAAATTTAGTCCATAGTTCAAAAGAATAGAATATCCCTTACCTTCTCATTTAAGTTAGCTCGTAAATGAAAAGCATTTATTTAAAAAAAAATTTATTCATTTATTTATTTGTTTTTAAATCTCATCCCCAGAAGTTGTACGCAGGGTCTTAATTTCAAGTAATTTCTCAGTTCTGAAAATACGAATAAAAAGTAACTGTCAAAATGGTTCTACGGAAATTTGGTTCAATTATTGTACTTTTTTGTATAATTGTTTTTATGGTTAATTTTGGGATTCGTGTTCTTTAAATTTCAACAGAAAATAATTTCTGAAATGAAGATCTTTTTGCACCTGGCTAATTTATAAGAACTATTAAATAAAAAATTTATATTTTGACTTGCATGTCTTGATTTATATGATATTTTGATATTTTTAAAGAGATATAATCTACGAATACTAAAACTAAAAGAGATGTTAGTTCCCAATGGGATGTTTGTCTCGAAATGGCATTTTGCGTTGAATCACTATAAACGAAGAAGGTTAGAATAAATGGAGTAAACCTTCTCTCCATATCCCGTACAATAAAAATGAAGCCACGACACGTCACGACTTATCATGGTTGCTACCATAGGCGAAGTTCTTCGTTTTTCTTTCTTTCCTCTCTCTCTATCTTTCTCTCTCTTTTTTCCTTTTCTTTTTTTTAATGAAATGATGTAATAGATTTGGAAAAGAGAAAAGTAGTAGCATGAAGAAAGAAAACTCAGAACTAAAAGAAATTTAGGAATCCTGAAAGAAAACTCGGTGTGCATAACGTGTGATAAATATAAATATAAATTATTTTAGTTGAAAAAAAAAATCAAATTCATTGCTAATTATTCAAAACCCAAAGTACATAGAATTAAAGTTTTGTTATCACTCATATACCCATAGACACTACGTGTGCTAAGCGTCCATGAATCAGGTGAATAACATTGCCATTCATTTTTATATTTAATGCATTTGTAAAATTTAATTATTTTATAAGAAAATAGATTATACTTAAAATTTAAGCCAGATAATCAGTGAAGTAAGTATGACAATCAGTGAGAGATAATCTGTGATTAAATAAAAAAAGCTGAAATGTATAGAAATCCTTAAAGCGATAACATTCAGATCTTGTTTATTTTGAGGGAAGATTTTACATAAGCTAAATCTGAACAGAAATTACGAATAAAAATGAGATATTCCAAAGAAAAACTTTCACATTTATCAAGTATTATTGGCATTGCTGCAAGCAAATATTATAACTTACTAGGATTACTTTAATTTATTCAGAAAGTTTACACAAAATTTTAAATTTAAAACTGAACTTTATAATTTTAATTACTGTGATTAGATTTTTAGTATAGGAATAAAGTATTCTGTGCTATTATTTGATTCACTAGCTTAGTACTCAAAATACTAATAAAAAAGGAATGCTGTTCAGAAAAGAAATAAATCGAACGGATGCAGATAAAAAAATATAAAAAATAAATAAATAAACAGTTCCACGTGGTATGAGAACCAAATCTTTGAATAACGTCTTAATGATCCTTAAAAGTCAAATCTCTTTTCGTCACATCGGTGACAATAATCACACGTTGTTATGTTTTACCCGAATAGCGTGGGACACGATACCCAACGAAATAAAGTAAACAAAAACTCTCGATTCTGAGGGAAAGTTTTCTTCCTTTTTCTCGTTGACGTCACCTGACGAATATGAAGACAGGGACCACAGTCGAATCTGATGTGACAAGAAATGTTTGGGACCACCCAGCTGCGGAGGTCCCATCATTAAAGGGACCCCCTGTAGCCTAGAGGGGCCCACCACCTCGTAGCTTTAGCTACCGGGCTGGTCTGCTCATGGTGACTGGGTAATGTCTATCGCTTGTTGCATGGAATTCTCTATTAGGCTGGGAGAGAGCATAGAATTGAGGGATATTATAGAAATTGCAACTGGTGTTTTTATTTTGAAATACTTGGAAATACACATTTAATTTTATGTACTATAAAATTTAATAGTTCACGTGTTTGTTCTCACCATAGCCATTAAAAATTTGATGAGCGAAAATTGTTCTAAAAACGATGCTCGTGTAGTAGTTACTAAGCAGTTTATATAAACGCTATTTTTTAATATGCTTGAAAAATTCAGCAAAACTCACTACCATCAGTGTGTATTAATTAACACTTATTCAAACTGCAGTATATTTAATGTAACTGAGATCATTAACGTGATTGTATTGTCTGAAAAGTTATGTTTCAGCTATCCAAATATATTTTCTCGGTAGATATTTTACCGTACTGATTTTAAACTATCTTTTACAATTGGCAGTTATATTCCAATTTACGATATTTAATTTTATATTCTTACTCTGAGTCTAAATTCTTTTCAAACAAGACGTTTAAAAGTTATCAGGAAATTTTTGGTACCTGAAGTTAATTTGTGAAACAGATTTGGACTTACAAATTCCAAAAATGAAAACTTCCACGACATACAATTTAAGATACTTTTCATGTCAACAAAATGAATAAATCACTTCCAGATAAAAATTCAGTTTTAAATAAATAAAGAAATACAATTCTAAAAAAAAGAAAGAAAGAAACTGTGCAAGAAACTGATTTCAGTTGCTCATTATCTGTAGAAGAATTAAAAGAGGTATAAAATTTCCAAACATTTTCAGTAAATTTCATGTAAAAATGATTCGAAGATTCGATAAATTATTTACAAAAATGTGTTACTGTTATATATTTTTTTCCAGAAATATTTGGAGAAATTTTATGACAAGTAAATAAAACTATCTGAAATATAAATGTGTTCTTCTCTAGCGAATGAAATTTTAATCTCTTACATAATAACATGAATTAAAATAAAACTTTGCCTGGTATCTTATAATCGTTAACAAAATGAGCACGAGAAAAATATTCCTAAATACTGCAATTTATTTTTGGAAATGAGACTTCCCAATAAGCTCAGAAGTAATAAATAAAAGGTTTTATTTTAGTACTATTGCATTATTTTTTAATCTATTTTTGAAACCAAAAAACAAGGTGTACTTTGTTTCGCTAAGGGATAGCTTTCATGTTGGACATTCCAAAGACACTGACCCTCCCACTTAAAGTAGTCTATTAATATTTCTTTATTTTGGTCATATTGTGAGCTGAAAGTACTATTTAAATATCGATTCTTGGCATTATTTTATAGCTACCGTTACATTTACACTGAAATCGGTAGTTAAGGAAGTACTTACGTTAAGGAATTATAATGATTTTGCCGTCTGAAAGTTGAAATACAAAGGAATAATTCACTGCATCATTTGAAATATCCTTATCAAGTGATCCTGTTAAGAATATAAGTTTTGAGTAACTCAAAAATTAAATAAAATAAAATATTTTTATTTCTTATGGCAGTTCTTAAAATTATGGCCAATAATTTCTAGTCTACCAATGAAACAATGTTTTGCATTTTAATATTTTATGTATTAAGTTGCAGATAAATCTGATAAGAGTTTTATAGTTTAGTTGAGAGTATCGACTGAGGCTAATTACTAGCCCAGTTAAAATTTTAATTACTTAAATACAAGCAGGTTTAAAGCATTCATAAAGCTAAAACCAGCGCACCAGCGGCGAGAGATATAATCGCTGAACGCTGATAGTTCTGACCCGGGTTCGATTACAGACGAAGGGACTGACTGCATTTTCGTTCATGTGTAACGTGTAAAGTTTCTCTTAGTAAGTCCTCCACGAACGCATCCTTTTCCTTAGCAGATAGCTCTAGTGTGCTTTGTCCTAATATATCAAACCAAAAAAAAATCGTACCTGGTTTTTCGCTTTCAATATCTTTTAAATTCTGATAACTGCTTTAATGTTTACCATTAAAACTTTTTAATTTTAATTACAGTTTAATACACACAATCAGCATTAAAGTATATCGGATAAAATATCATATTCTGAATGAAAATAGTAAACTACCAGAAGAAAACTTTGAAAAGAAAATAACGCGAAACCACGTTAATATCTAACACTTAACATTCATCATATTTACGGAACTTCTGTTTGTTTCGGCAGACTAATTATCCGCAAAACAATACATATCCTCATATCGCGCGAAACAAGAGGCTTATTTTAGGCTTTATGATAAATCTTCGCAGAATTTTTGAAGTTAATTTATTTATATTTTAAGAGCTTTAATGATAATCGTCCAGAAGAAAGACTTTGTAAAGAAAATAGATACAGTTTCTGAAATGTATGATAAAAACTTTCTCGCATTAAGAAGATACCTGGATTTAACCAAAAAGAAAATAGATACAGTTTCTAACAATGTATGATAAAAATATCTCGCATTGAAAAGAAACCTTAATTTAACCAACTACAATAAATGGATGGCTCCCCTTTCCAACGTTCCGATCGGGCGATTCTTTCCGGCTAATTACCGGTCCCACTCATCAAGTGTTCAGAGAGCAGGCCTCTTGTGTCAAAGAGGCAGACCCTCAAGCCCTGATGGGAACACGCGATTTTTCCATTCGTCTGATTTTTCAGTCAAACGCTTCCCCCACCGCCGTTTTCCTATCCGCGCTTTCGAGTTGTGAGGATAGGGTCGCAGTCTTTTTGCAATTTGTTTTTAGTTTCTGAATGTCACTTTTATCACTCGCATGTCTCGTAATTTCCA